ACTGACGGCAAGGCCTGACGAAGAGGCACACTGACGGCAAGGCCTGACGAAGAGGCACACTGACGGCAAGGCCTGACGAAGAGGCACACTGACGGCAAGGCCTGACGAAGAGGCACTCATCAGCCTGATTATTAGCCAGATTAGTGGCTCTCAGGGTCCTGACAGATATTCTCACGGCTGGTTTATCAGTAGCAGTCAAACGGTTAAAAATTAGCAACATTTACAATGTTGATCATTTTGTAACCACTTGACTGCTGCTACATTTCCATATTATGCTGTTACATTTACAATGCTGCTAAAGGAAATGTATCATAGCACTACGATGCACTTCATCCTACAACTACATTCATATGTATAAACACACACACACACACACACACACACACATTAATTCAGTTATTTAGCTAATTATTTAGAATAGGAATAATAATAATAATAATGGTGCGTTTTCTTCAACTGCGCTACAAACAAGTCTTGCAGTAAATCTATGATGACAATATAGACACTCCATTCAGTTCCCACTCCCCCTCCCAGAGCCCCCGGTACCTTGGTTCCGATGGCCACCACCAGGTGCTTGGGAAGCTCGGCGCTGTCAAAGCAGTAGGGGCACCTGTCCATGGCACTGGCCAGCCGGCGGTGCTCTTGTACGGCCCGCTCACGCTGGCGCTGCTCATCCTGGCCGGAGCGCTCTCTCTGGGCCGCACTCGACACAAACATGTCGTCCAGCGTGTAGTTGTCTCCATCCTGCTTGCCCATCATCTGCGGCACACGGCACGGCTAAGGCGTCACCTTCGTCACACGCGCTTGTGTTCTTAATTCTGCTCGACCAGAAGTGCCAGAGCCAGCTGACAGCAAGTATGGGCATCTAACGGCCGAGATCCGATTCGCAGATGTCGGCCAAAACCCAGCTCTGAATCTACATACATTTAAATAACATCACATAAAAACTGAAACATCACCCAACATGCAAGCAAGGTGCTGGAAATACGGTCACATTTTCATACAAACAGGACAGGAACATCAGGACTGGACCGGGCCTGAAAGACACTGTGCTTCTTTCACAATGTCGTTTTCCTCTAAACCAATCGAAACAGCCTTCTGGGAGACTGGGGTGGGAAGGAAGTGGTAGGAGATAAAGGCGGGGGGGCCACGGGCAGGTCTGGAGCTGCAGCCTGCGTGTGAAAGTCGATGTCACACCAGGCCTTTCGGACAAGGCCCCCTGCACATGGTGTAAGCGAGAGCCGCGTCGTGGTGGGCGGAGACAGCAAGCCCTTTGGCGAGACGGGATTGGCCATTTAAATGCAGTGGAAGTGCAGTGGAAGACGATTTAAATACACGGCACAGGACAGCCCTTTACGGCGATCAGTGCTGTAAAGGCGACATAATCGGGGGGGGGGCATTAATCCAGACCAGTGCCGCGTGTCCATGGAAACGTTGCTGTGAGGAAGGTGTGTCCGTGTGGCTGGATCGCTGGATTGCTGACCAATCAGGGGTGTTGTTTACGGGCAGCAGGACGGTATACGTGCATTCCTGCCGTGTGACGCTGGCCTCGTAATCACGGCTCCCCCCCAAGCCCCCCAAAAGACTGCAACGATGAACAGATATACCCCGAATCATACTTAAAAACAGACAAATCCATCCATGGTCCAACTGCGTGATTTTCAAGGAGAACGAAAACACCCAGCCTAGGGGCGGGGGGGGGGGGTAACCACAGCCAGCGTGAAGTGAGAGGGGATCCCCAGGAAATGGGGGGGGGGGGGGCTTCTTTGCAAATTACAGATTTCTGTCACCCCTTCACCATTCACTTATGTTGCGGTTTATTTACAACAGATTTTGGGAAATTTCAAGCGTTTTTTTTTTTCTTTTTTCCACGTCATTCACGGATATCCGGCCCTGGAAACCAAATCCGTATTTATAGAGCGGCACAGCAGATCGACAGCGGGGCTGGAAACCGCGGCACGGCTGAAAGCTCAAGGTGTAATGTTTACCGCTTTCATTTTGAATCGCCATGGCAACACTGACGTCTTTGGACTTTATTAATAATGCTCTCCCCCCCTAAAGGATTTACACATATTAGGCACGTTAATATTTCATACGCGAACCACATGCACCCACTGTGCACTCCAGGCCGTACCCGTTGCATTCTTTTAGAGTTTATCCAGCAGCTTTCTGGGGGTCAGACGCAGCCCGCCCTCACTGGACAGTAGCTGGCAGAGACACACCTCACTGCAGATTGTTTTCTCTGATTTCAGTAACAAGAGAGCAGCACAGATTGGTTTCTTTTCTTAACAAAGGCAAACAAATTAAACAGACGTGTGCCACCTGCTATTTAATACCGGGCCTTCCTGAAATGTTAATGAGTATAAACTGACTCCGCCCACTCCAGGGTGCCGGACCGGCTGGAATGATCGGCACTCGTATGACAGCCGATTCCAGTGGGAGGGACAATGACAAACAGGGTCCCTGCTTTGGTCCACAACTATTATAGAAAAGACACTACCATCCCACTTGAGTCACCTTCCCAGGTTGCACGAGGGTACACAAATGTAGAAGCGTGCCCTCCCTCTCTCTCTCTCTCCCTCCCTCCCTCTCTCTCTCTCTAACACACACAGACAGTCAGTGAAGCTCAGCTACCCCAACACAGTCTATCTGGACCATGCGCAGGGAAAATCCTGTGAAAATCCACAGCACCCCCAGAGATGGCCTTCAGATGCAGGCCTAGGCCACTCTGCAGACCCCCCAGCTCCCCAGGGGCTCTGACAGCCCCAAATATCAGCACTTTATTATCCAGAAGCCACAAAGCTTCCAAACAAACAAAGAAGACCTCAGTGGCTACACTGAGCACGGAGGCCCCGCCCACCTTAGCTGCCATGCGAGAGTACAGCGCATTTTGGTCTCCTGCAGTGCTCATCTTCTCCCGGCGCACCATCTCCTGCAGGTCCATAGCGTCGTCGTCTTGGAAATAGCGAACACGCTCGCCATCACGGTGAGTCTCCATCTGGCAGGGTGGGGCAGAGTTAAACATGCAAGTCAGCTCATCCTGTGGGATGAAGGTGTGGCGACCTTAAGGGGGCGTGTACTCGGTGACATCAGCATTGAAAGGGGCGTGGCTTTAAGGGGGCGTGTACTTGGTGACATCATGCATTGAAAGGGGCGTGGCTTTAATGGGGCGTGTACTTGGTGACATCAGCATTAAAAGGGGTGTGGCTTTAAGGGGGCACGTACATAGTGACGGTGGCATTACCGAAAGGCGCGGCTTTGAGGGGAGTGTACTTTGTGACAGAGGGGGCACGTTCAATGTGAAAACATTGTGCAATATTTTGTTACGGTTTCCAGGTTCAATGACATTCCCTCAGAACAGTGTGAAACGTTTTTTCTCGTTTGTTGAGTGTCAGAGGTGTAACACGATCAGCAGCGACAAAGCGAAGATAACAAGGTACTGCCCACAATGGATTCCAGCCATGTGACCACTGTTTCCGTCTATTAAATAAACGTTTTGCAACGTTTGCTTTGGAATGAAAGTCCAAGGGGGTGTGGCCTTAAGAGGGCGGGTACCACAAAGACTGTCCCGCCCACATGCACAGACAGGGGCGTGCTTAAAAGGGGCAGTGCAAACACAGACTAGACTCCTACATCAAGTCTCAAACATACTTCATTAAACTAAAGGTGAGTTCACCTTTGACCCCTGTAGCGGCCCCCCCACGGGAACGTGGCAGAGGTCCTGCCTAAGCTTACCGCTGTCTTCTTCCTGCGTCCTCCCCGGGGCTCCTGGGGTTCTGACGGGCCCTTGACGGGCCACGCCCTACCCATGTGATCGGTCCGGTAGAGAACCACCTCCTGATCCTCCTCCACCCGTCCAGACACCTGGTTCAGACAGAGCAGAAGGGTCACCAGAAAAACAGAACTGCACTGTGTATCTGATAAAGGAACTGGACAAACAAAAAGCCGCAAAGAAAATAAAGAGGCAGATGCACTCAGACACTTACAATCCCCCAAATCTATTCTGTGTGCAGTACAGTGATCAGAGTCGGACACGACGTTTAGCTTGTGAGCAGCTGACTCTGAAACTCACAGCACTGACTGGCAGCTAACAAGACAACTTCAAAGAAATGGGCTCCAATTCGGTCTGTTCACTTAACATTAGTTGTCATGTACAATAGCAGCATAAGACAGATGCCAGCTTAACATGAAACATTTTGATGTGTTAATCTACCAAAACTGCCATGACTATGATTACAAATACAGCGGACGAACACAGAAATCAGTACAGAAAACATCTATCTATTTAAAGGTTTTAGCAAGGGGACGCAAATCTCATTTATTCAAGAATACCCAGACTATGTGGGGACAAAATAGCCCTTAAAGCTGTGAAATTCTCACACACACACAGACACAGAGTCAGGTCAGCTTCAGCAGTGCTGATGAATCTACACTCAACATCAGCCAATCAAATCCTCATCCACTCCGGGAAGACCCACCAAACCGGCCTCATTAGCGCCGGACGCTAAGCGTTTAGCAGCAGGATTCTGTGGCTGATCCTGGCAAGACTTTCCACAGACACTCAGGTAGTACTTCATCAAAAGAGCGGATTAACCAAGAATGATCTAGCGGATTAATAAGCAGAGAGACGCTGAGCTGAATGGGTAAGGCACTATGAAATGGCTCACTAATGTCGATGGGTCTGTCGCCATCAAGAGGCAGGCCGCCGGCGAAAGAGCTGCGTTAGTGACATCACAGGGCATCCTGAGACCGGGGGCCTGCACTACGAAGCGGGGTTACTGGCTTATCTGGGTAACTTGTCGGATTTAAGGTAGACTGGGCAAAATGTAAGTTATGAAGTCCATCTAAACTGTGGTACCTTAAACCCGACAAGTTACCCCAATAAGTCAGTAACCCTGCTTCGTAGTACAGGTCACAGGACACAGGGCTGAATCAGAGAGAGCGAAAGCACGGGGTGGCATGTTTGGGGGGGGAGGGGCTGCCTCTGGGAGAAAGTGGGCTTGGGGGGGTTGAGGCAGAGCGAGCTCCCCCCCGGCCACTCCCCCACCTGCTTCCCGCTGCCTTGAGCGCGCTTCTCTTTGGCCCGGCGGGCAGCTTCCAGCTGGGACTTCAGCTTCTCCTGCAGCTCCTGAGAGAGAGAGAGGAGAAAGACTAGATAGTCAGAACCCACCTAAGGTCGGAAGACGTATCCACCCCAGTTAGCACAGCCAGGAAGCAGAGAGTGAAGGAACAAAAAGTCAGCAAACATTCCCAGAGGGCCTGATGAGCGGTGAGGAGGGCAGGGGCCCGTTCTGCTACTCCTTACGGACTGCAGGGGGCGCTCCAGAGCAAAACTCATTCCGACCAGTGACACGTTTCCACGGCGTTCTACACACGTCCCTGTGAATGTCCCCTCCCTCAGAAGGAGCTCACCTTGTTTCCCATCAGCTCAGCTTTCACCAACTTGGCCCCAAGCTTGTTCATCTCCTCATCGGTGAGGATCAGCTCCTCCTCCTCTTCCTGCCCGCCTTCTTCCTCCCCACTCTCCGACTCCGTGACCCTAAGAATGAAGACCGGGCCAAATGTTTCAGCCACCGGGCTGCTCTGTTTGGTCTGAGCAGGTCCAAATCAGTGACAGCTCCAGAGCTTTGTCTTCATCTCCACCCTAATGGGCTCGTCCGACAAGCGGCAGTGGCCTTTACGCTGCCCCCCCCCCCCAAGACAAAGGACATTATCCCTCCACTACACTTTGTGGGATTATTCGGTAAACACTGACTAACCTGGGCGGTGATCCCACATCCTTGCCCCCATGACGCTCCGGAGACCGGCGCTCCGGTTCAGTGGACTCCGGCACGGCGGTGGCCATCCCAGCCGCCCTTCCCGCGCCATCTTCCCCAGCTGAGCCCGGCTTCCTCCAGGCCGGACGGGTACCCTCGTGGTTGCCCTCGCTGCGGGGTTTGAGGAACCCGCCGGTGCCCTGGTGTGACCCCGCCCAGGCCGGACCCGGCTCGTCCTTTGCGGGCTTCAGGAACCGGGCCTTCAGCGAGCTGCTGGATGGAAGCAGCCTGGCCCGGTCTTCCGCAGGCCGAGGGCTCTCTCTGCGGGGGCGAGGCTCCTCCGCGGCTCTGTGCCCAGCCTCATCTGCCCGGTCCCCCCTGTCCCTTCTGCTCTGCCTGTCTTCCCGATGCCAATCCCTGTATCGGTCTATGTCCCTGTCCCCGTCCTGCTCAGGGTGTCCCCTCCCCCGACCTCCATCCCGGTCACTGTCCCGGTCTCGGTCTCGCCTGCTACCCCTGCCTTCTGGGAGACTCCGTTCGCCCCGTCGGCCCCGATTGGACTCCTGGTCTCTGTCTGAGCTGTCGTCTGTGGCCCCTGGCCTCTTCCACCCCCTTCCCTCGTTCCCGTCACGTCCGGGTCCCCTTCTCCGGGTCTCGGCAACCTTTTCCGCTTCCTCCAGCCTCTTCTGAAACTTCTCCATTGACTGTGGGAGATCAGAACAGGAACGGAGCTCTAAGAGCAGCCAGGTGGCCCAACGGCTGACGTCACACCTGCCCAGGCACCCAGACTCACCCCGTATCTCTCGGAGACCACCTGCTCCAGACTGCGGTTCTCCCTCTCGGCTTGCTCCTTCATGCGCTGGTAGGACCTGCGCAGCCAGCCCAGGCCACCGTCATCTACCACCGCAGCTTTGGGGGGAGGGCACACACTATTTAGCCGGATTGTTCTGCTTCAGCCATCAGCGGAGACCCATAGCTAGTACAGAGTCACTCAGCAAGCTTAGTACCAAGTGACTGACGGGCAGGAAGTCAAACACCAGTGAAGATCCGTCTCAGAACCATATGATCAATACGATGATTATGATCATTTCAGCTGTTTAAGTCAGTGTTTCCCCAATCTGGTCCTTGGGGAACCACAGACAGTACACATTTTAGAGCAGAAATGTGGACTGTCTGGCAGGGAGCTTGGAGAGAGCAAAAACATGGTACCAGCTGTGGGTCGCTGAGGACCGGATTGGTTTAAGTAATAGTAATATTATATTAGTAACAATAAAAGCAGCCTCAGTAGAGGACCTAGTAACAAAACTTTTTGTTACACGCATGGCATCTCTAGAATATAATTAAGAGAATGTAACCTGGTTTCTATTATTTCGACTGGTTCCTGAAACATTAAAGTATTACCCAAATCACAGCGCTTGGGCCGTGAATCACGACACCCCCCCAACAGAGGGGCAGTTACCTTTGTGGGAAGGGGCAGCAATGTTCTCTGGGGGTAGGCCACACCCCCCATCCTTCCAGTAGGGGTTCAGCTCCAGCTTGTGCAGGCCGGCCTGGGGGAGGGGGGGGCACAGAAAGGATGGGGGATTAGCAGACAGGACCAGTATAAACCATCACGGAGGCGGGAGAGAACCCCAGGCCGAGATGGTGATGGCGGGAAATCAGCGGGAAATCACAGCGGGTTTGTTTCACACCCCCAGGCTTCCTGTCTCCGTGACCCAGACACGCCCCTCCAGGGACAGGGGACAGCTGCGGCCCTCCTTAGCAGACTGGGAAATTAGGACGCCTGTGGAGAGATCGCTCCTGTTCTCAGGGCAGCAGATGCCAAAGAGGGGAGACTAAGGCCTGGCCTGCAAGGAGCCCGATGCGGCAACAACCATCATGAGACAATCCAGCAGAAAAGGCGCTATAATTAATTAGCGCACATTTTCAGAGTGGAAGTTAAGATAAAGGTTACAGGAGAGATTCCAAGCAAGCACACATACCTGCTCCAGCACCTGGCTCCTCTCCCGCTCTGCCTCCTTCTCCCTCTCCTTCTCCGCCCTCCTCTCCACCACAGACGTGGTCTTCATGGACAGGAAGTCAAAGGTCATCCACTCGTCTCTCTGTGACAGTAAAGGTCAGGTCAGACGGGCTGACACCTGCGCCGGCAGCTTCAGAGAAACCCCCCCCCCCAACATCACCGGGCAAACACACCCGCAGCACTCCGCTATTCACCAGCTCATTATGGGATGCCTTGCACAGGATGCAGCCCTACTGAATAGTGTCTGCACCTCCCTCTATACTGAATGCACTTTCCTGTCTGGCATCATGCAGACCGTATCCTTTAAATGCTCATGTTTGCGTTTTCCGTGGTCTGAGACATAAATACCCAACTTGCAGATTTTTAAATCGGTCTCTTGAAGTCCGTACCGTGGTGGAGACCCTGAGGTTCGTGACTCACCTGCTTCAGCTCAGCTTCAGGGGCCTCCTCTGGCCGACTCTCCCCGCCCATCTTCCAAGGCTTGGCTGCGACCTCCACCACCGGCTGGGCCTCCACCCACTCTTCCTCAGACCCCTACACACCACACATCCAGCAAAATGGGCATGTGGCAGACCGAGGTCCCACTCCTGTCTTCAGACCTCCTACACCATAACATCTCCCCAAAAGCGGGCCACAGACCTGACTGCACAGGGCTCTAACAACAACGTGCCGTTTCACAGAAACATCCCTTATCACAAAGGTGTCAGCTTCGGGATTAGAGACCAGAACCAAAGCCACGGCCTAAAGTCAGCAAACAGATCCACGCTCTTTCTGTCCCTCTGATCAGCCGACGTCTGCCTGGAAATGGCCCCCCCAGGCCCGCTCACCTCCGAGCTGCCGCTGGACACATCCTCCGCTTTCCTCTTCTCTTTCTTTGCCTTCTTCTTCTTCTCCTTCTTGCTCTTCTTCTTTTTCTGTTTGTGTTCCTAGGAAACAGGGAATGGGGGGGGGGGTCACACAGGTGACAAGGGAGTGACACGAGGGCAGAAACAGCCGCAAGGGTAACCACCTGGGAAATCAGGAGACGCAGCACTGGTACACACCCAGAGGCCAGGGGAGGAGCCGCAAAGTCAGTGTCCAATGAAAACAGAGGGGCGGGGTCACAGACAGGAGCATTAAAGCTAGAAGCTTCTGGTTTTGCCGTCACCAAAGTGCAATGGCGCTTTTTAAAAGCGAACTAAATGTTGTGTGCTTGAACAAATTAAGCAATTGTAATTACCTTTTAATACAGGCACTGGGAAAATTTACAGCACTTTAATACAGGAAGACGACCTTTGAGGAGAGTGACTGAAATGCACACGAACCCCAGGGCCCAGAGTCCAAAGGATGAGACAGACGAACCAGAAACCAGACCCTGACCTGAAACAGGGGTTGGCGAGGACCGGGATCAGCACGAGGCCTACAGGAAGCGTTACCCACCTGGTCCAGCTGCTGCAGCTTCAGGTCCACCTCAGGGAGCATCCACGTGCCCTCTCCACGGGCCCTCTTCAGGTCCTTCCTCCTCTCCTCCTTCTCAAACTTCTCCTTGGCCTGCAGAGGACATTGCAGCATCGTGGTGGGTTTCCATGGAAACGCAGGGTGGACCGAGTTGCNCAGCTGCTGCAGCTTCAGGTCCACCTCAGGGAGCATCCACGTGCCCTCTCCACGGGCCCTCTTCAGGTCCTTCCTCCTCTCCTCCTTCTCAAACTTCTCCTTGGCCTGCAGAGGACATTGCAGCATCGTGGTGGGTTTCCATGGAAACGCAGGGTGGACCGAGTTGCATCCCCCCCATGGCCCCAAAGCCACATGCTGTTGCCCTGCATATGTCACACCTCCAACCTTTCTGACGTCTGCAGGCAGGGGGCAGCCTCGCACATCCATTTTGGATGGGATAAATATTTTGGAACACGACAGAGGAATGACACAGAAAACAGAACATGGGCTTCCAGTGCAGATGGGATGTCGTTTACGGCCAGGCCGCATGAAGCAGCACCCTGACCGATATATATCGGTGGCCAATCAACTCGCATGACGGTGGACTGACGGGCTGCGGAAATATCCCATCGCCAATTACGATTCCGTTACCTGAAGAAAACCATCAAAACCTTTTACCAATGGGGCGGGGGGCTTCTGAGAACACGGCACCAGGAAAACGCAGCAGTGTGTAACAGCATGCACACTGCACACACCATCAGCCTATCCTCCAAGCTCACTGTGGACAGACGTCCCTCCAAACCAAAGCAAAGCAAAGCAGCCTTATCAGCAGGGAGCAGGATTTGCTCACCGGCCACCTCGCCTGGACCCAGGTGGAAGGCATTTATTCCTTGGTAATTTACGATGCTTGAGTGTGAATGGATTAACAAACAAGCCAAACGAAAATGTGTACACAGAACAAGGCAATTATCAGCAGTGACGTGCTGCTTCCGCTGGGTAATTGTGTTGTTGGATCATACGGAAAAGACGCTTCCCGCGGGAGCCACGGCAGTGTAGGAGCACCCCAGCCCAGCTCCATCTTTTCTTTCTCAAAAAAAAATCACAGATCTGCTCCATGTTTGCTGTTCATTCTCCATTACATTAAACTTGCATTAGCCTGAGTAGCTGAATTGGAGCAAATGTCAATTCATAACTCTTTCAGAGAGATTAATGTGTGCGCACTTTTCAAAAGAAACATTTTATTGATTTGGACCCTCAAAATAACCTACTTAAGCATAAAAATTTCCCTAAAACTACCATATAGTTAAAAACACTAAACCCAAAAATTAGTGACCAGCTCAAAATATTAGATATTTAGATAAACCAACTCATGTCAATGTAACACAGAATCTGTAACTGAAAACCAATAACACTCAACAGCCAGAGGAAAATTAATTAACGCATAAATACAATAATACAAATTATTGTAGATTATTGTAATACAGAAGAACCATTATTGAAGTCAGTATTGGGAAGGGACACAGCGCCATCTAGTGGCCGGCGGGCTACCTTTGGGGAATTAAATTGATCGTCTGCCGCGTTTATAATGTGGTGTTAATGAACCGAGTCCATCTGAAAGGGCTCAGCATCTAGCAGTCTTATGTCTGAAATAAGCACGCTTCCCCTGGCATTAGCATTAGGATTGCCACCTGGGCAGAGTTTAATTTCCCGTGTAAAATCCCCATAATACACGAGGAAAACCCATTAACTCACACACAGACAACTACACTCTTTAGGAAAACCTACAAGTCGTCAGGGAACACAGCTTGATACGTGGCCTTCATGTATCGTAAAGCAAGGAAGATTCCTGCTCATAGCAACGCAGATAATGTGCATCGAATACCCAGATTAACTGGTGATGTTAGTAACTGTTTAGTTCGCTGTTGACTTTACTGTGGTAATAAACACGTTGCCATTTTATTTAAGTTTTATCGTCACATCTGTTCGGAGGAACACAGTGAAATTCTTGTGCCACACTTGCAGGGATGGGGACAGGTGCATGGTGGGACAGTAGAACAGACGACAGTGCAATGAGAGACACTGCAAGACAGTGCCATGTAAGAACAAGCGGTCAGTAAATAAGCAATAAAAAGGTTGTGCAACGGGGGACAATGTGTAAATGACCACAGAGTTAGTACATAGCTTGTAAAATGGAGAAGTGGAATATTTAAAACGGCGTGAAATACAATGCAGTGGGTGTACAGTCACCGGGTGTTTAACATATTACATACACAGTACAGCTACCGTCAGTATAAAAGCCAATGGGCCCTCGCTGCTTCTTCATGTCACTCCGAGAATTAAACATAAGAACATGATGCGATAGGGGAGAAGAGTGCAGGCCAATCTGGCTAACCAAGAAGAGCCTCGACCAGGTGTGCCTCCGAATTACATAGCTGACAATAATAATATTATTACAAGATTCACATCTTTGAGCTTCGGCTCAGATACAAGCTAACTAATGTTAGCCACCGCGTTCTCCCATTAAGCCCAAACGCTTTTTTTGGTCGATTAGCGGCCTCGATACAAACGTATTGGCTAGGCTGCTTCGGGTTATTAGTTACCTTCCGGAGCACCTCTTCTCTTTCTTTGCGTTTATATTCTCTCCTGCTCTCGATGCTGTCTGAACTTTCAAACGTACCTCCGAACGCCGCCATGACATTGCCGGAAATACTGTCGTAAAATCATTCACGACAATAGAGCCCTCGTTTCCGACAGAAGAGCCCCCCCCCTTAAGCTCACCCAAAAACAGAAATTTTAAATGTCTAAGAAATTATCGTATGTGTTGTGCAGTTTCTCACAAGACGCTGAGGCCACTCATACTACATTCTTGAATCATTCCAATTTTTCAACAAAGGTTCCACCATTAAACCCACATATGTGTGCTGCATTTAAGTCTCAGTGGTAGCAATCGGTTACAAGCACTTTAGAAAATGTTATAATATCACTACCTATTAAAACGAGCGTCAGACAAATTTCTGTTTTTTTTCTCAAGGGCTTTTAACAAGTGATGCTATCCCATGGAAAGGATTCAGTAGGTTTCCTGTATATGCAACGTGTCTGACGTCATCCAACAGCTCCAACAACACTGCAATATGAATAATTTTCTCTCTACAGTTACTTATTAAAACTCTTCTGTGAAAGCCATCCTCAGCCGCTACCAATAAACCAAGCCTATTAAAGAATGCTGATGGGCATCACTGCAGATCCCAATGTGAAAGAAAGCGAGGAGTGTAGGGTGATCCCTCCACCATAGACGTCTCAGGGTGATCCCTCCAGGATAGACGTCTCAGGGTGATCCCTCCACCATAGACGTCTCAGGGAGATCCCTCCACCATAGACGTCTCAGGGAGATCCCTCCACCATAGACGTCTCAGGGAGATCCCTCCACCATAGACGTCTCAGGGTGATCCCTCCAGGATAGACGTCTCAGGGTGATCCCTCCACCATAGACGTCTCACTCCAGACATTTATCACGTGTGGCTCCCTGATGGCGGAACACGCTGCCAAATCACATTTGGCCATCAGATTCTCTCTCCACCTTCAAGATCCCCGTTTCAGAAACGCCTCCACTAGCCTTCATCACACCATGTTCCCTGAATGCTTCTAATATTGCACTTTCTGCTGATTTGATTGTCTTATTAGATTATTGCTTTGTTTGGCAGATGTAGTGTAGCTCTTGCTCCAAAACTGCTTACACTTGTAATCTGGCATTTATTGGAAGCTCAGCTTCACTGCACTTTTGCCTGGTCCACTGCTCAACAGCCATACGTTTGTAATGTGCTATTTGTCTCACTCGCCCATCACTTTGCACAAAAGTGTCTGCTCAGTAAAGTAAATGCAGATAGAGCGAGGAGAGAGAGCAAAGCTGTTGAATGCAAGCTGATAAATCCCTGAGTGGATATTTTATAAAAATGAAGGGTACTCATATTTCAAATTTTATTAATCCTCTTTCATTTCATTATCGAAATTTTGCAGTAAAACCGACAACGGCACTTTATTTTGCCATTGCTGCCATTAACGGGTCAGATGGCAAAAGCTCATTTTCTGATCCTCGCATGGATGCCACTGCATCAGTCTTCTCCAAAATTACGCACCAGTTCCCTTGGTCATAGTAGCTGCTCTGAACGGTCACATTCTCCACCTTCCGGCACAGGTCCTCCAGTTCTCCTTCACAGAAGACGTGGTAGTAGCGATGAAAAATGGGGCCAGGTGTTGGCCCCGTCACGCTGTCCGTGAGATGGGCCAGTGGTTCCGGGCTCTTCGGTGTCGCGCCCTTCAGGTGCCAGGGCACCAGCAGGTCCTGAGAGCTGAATGTCGTGCGGTTGGTGTGTACACTCAGTGTGGTCTGACCGTTCTGTACCAAAGAGAGACCTTTCCCAGAACGCTCCTGGGGGGGCGGGGTGGCGGTGCGGTCCTTCACTGGACACACATTCTCCTCCTTCGTCTTCTTCAGGTACTTGGACCTCTGCTTGTTGTACTCCTGCTCCAGCGCCCACACAGAGATTAGGGCCCGCCCCCCTGGCTTCAGCAGGCGAATCAGCTCCTTGATGGCCGACACTCTTCTCACCTGGACAGACAGCGGTGTGAGCTACAATACTTTTAGCATGACAAAGACTGTCATCCTAGATGGTTGACATGTTTAATCCCCTCCAGGTGTAAGAAATTTAAAGGTTTACACTAGAAGTGCACAATATATTGGTTAACATCTTGATATCGGCCGATGTTTGTTAAAAATGAATACATCACCCTGAGTCCGATATGTGGGCATTGGTTGATATTGCTGGCCAATATTTAGACTTTAGTGAATATTCAAATTGCGCTTTTCCACTGTCACCAAGAACCAAGCCGGACCCAGCCGGACCCAGCCGGACCAAGCCGGGCCAAAAGCATAAATAAACCGAGCTGGTTGTCTCATCACCACCTGACTGGTCAAAAGACACTTAGATACCTATGATCTGCATTGGTACGCACAGATTATCTGAAGGAGAAAAAAAATCATATTCTATATATTATTCATTATTTGTCGTATTGCACATCGCAATGTATTCATGCATTCCTGATAACTTGGAACATGAAAATTTCCAACCTCCTACTTAAAGAGGACAGCTGAAGGGAATGGATTCATAATTCAAATTTATGTAAGCTAATGTTAATTACCCTAGCGCTTGATGCTAACATAACATGGTGATTTTCACAGACGTGCTACAGGAAATTAGTTATCAGTATCTGCCAAAATTGCCGCAACGGTTCACCAGGCTGGCTTGATAATGTCACCAGTGAATCTGATGGGGGTGAACACTCATAGACAGAAGGGGAGGGGCCCTTTTTCCAGTGACTACACCCAACCTGTGTGGAGAAGTGGTGGATGACGGCGATGGAGATGCAGGCGTCGCACATGTCGCTGCGCAGCGGGACGTCCAGCGCGTCACACGTGAAGGCCTGGAAGCCGCGCTCGCCACAGATCTGCGTCAGGCTCTGGCTGCGATCGCAGCCCACCTGCAGGGGGCAGTGTGCACTCAGTCCTTGTACAGCAATACTCTCCCCCTGACCTTTAACCTCACACAGCTGCACAGACCTCACCCTCAGAATTAACTGCTGAATTTACTTCACACAAAAAGGGTAAAGCTAGTAATCAGGGGTAATATTTTACATTGTAAACAATAAATATGACACCTATTATCCTGTTTTGAAATCCCCTGATTTATTGCAGCATCCACCTGGTCTTGCAGCCTGTTTAGCATGTATTTTGTGTACCAGCCATAAATCAGGCTGGCAGGTGACGTTCAGGGCCTCTGGGAGCCCCAGTCCCCCATCTTGCCCTGGTGACGTTTCCCACATAAATCCACTGTGCGTGATAAAACAGTACCAGCCTTTAGCCGTTTAATCTTCGCATAATGCGGAGGATACTGATGGCTGTAATAATGTTCGCGATAAAACTCTTAGTCGGGGGAAAATTTCATTTCATTTTATGAGCCACGTTAGCACTCCCCGAGGCTCAGAAGCTCCTGGATAAAACAGAACCTCTTACATGCCAAACTGGGGGCAATGGTCAGATTTTAGATGTTACACAAAGGCTGGGCTTGGCCTTTGGCCTGGCCTCGACTCCTTTCAGTCCTCTTATATTCGTCCCGCAAACTGACAGTGACATCAGAAATCTTGGGGTCACGAGACTAGGGACTACTAGAGTGATATTTCGCAGTGTGTTTAACAAATACCCTACGTTGTAATATTACCTGCACCACATGGGGGCAGTCATGTTCCACAAGAGCCTTATTGAACAGTCCCTGTTCGATAGCAAATATTGCCTGGCTTTAAAGCTGTGAATTAAGCTCTAAAGAGGAAGGTCTGTGATTTCTTTAAGCAGACGATGCAGGCGTTAGCGGCGTGGGACGCGGCCAGGCCACCCCAAGCGGCTCGTACCGCAAACACGCCCGGGCAGAGGCCCAGGTACTTCCCATTCCCGCAGCCGGCGTCGAGCAGCAGGGCACCAGGGGCCAGCGAGCGCAGGAAAGCCGCCACCCTCGGCCAGGGTGAGTGGCGGGTGCCACTGAAGTGGCCCGCGATCTCCTCGTACACGGCGTGCACGAACCGCGACTCCAGGTGTGCGGCGTCCATGTCGCTGCGAGGGAGGGGGGGCCCGGGGGGGTCCTGCAGAGGCTGCTGGCTGTCACAGGCAGACGGGTACGCTGTGGTGGGTGTGTCCGCACATGAGAAAAGGAGGCCAGGTTCTGGGTAAATGTGCAGTCAGAAAGCAGTATCCCATCAACACGTTAAGATGGATGCATGGATGGATGGATGGAACTTGTGTACCCGCCTGTGTACCCGCCTGTGTACCCGCCTGTGTACCCGCCTGTGTACCCGCCTGTGTACCCGCCTGGGTACCCGCATGGGTACCCGCCTGGGTACCACACCACAGATTTTTCACCACGTTTACATTTATTTCATAAACTGCAGAATTTTTATTCTTGTTAAGCTTTGGAAAGTTGAATGAACTATAAATGAAAATATAAGTCAAATAAAACAAGTTTCTTTTATAACATATGAGTATGTATGAAAGGGTATGTAACAGTGCATGTCTGACATCCTATTAGCTGGTTGTGTTCGGACAGCACAGTAATAAGGTTTCCTTAGTTATGGCTCAAAGACAAATGTCAGTGTTAAGGAATAAAATCTACTGATAAACACTGAAATCACAGTATTCCGCCAGGACTCACCACAGTCACATGGGGTGTGCCGGACTTTGCGGAAGGTGAAGGAGGTCCTGGTGTCCCGCTGACTCAGCGTTAGGTCACGAGGGTCACAGGTCACCACACCCGGCCGCTGACCGCCAACTGCGGGAACCACGTCAAGTTTCCTGGGAGTTATTCTGAAGGAATCATGTGATATCAATTAATCATAACCTGAGAGACAGCCACTGTAACTGCAGTCCTCCCAGGCCATAGGGGGCAGTGTCTCCCTCACCCATGCGTCCAGAGATAGCGGCACTCGCCCTTCATCACCAGCAGGCTCCGCCTCGGTAACAACACGGCGACTGAGCGTCCATCGGGGTGCCGGAAGTCCATCACCGTCTGTGGATGACAGGAATGATCATATTTTTTATGGAACAGGTCAGCTTTCAGTCATGTGAAAATGAGAATAATCACATACATACAGGAGTGAACCATGCGGGGTGGGTGACATAGCATGGTCATCACAGAAACAAATCCCAGGTAGCACTCCCACCCCGCCCCCCACCCCTGAAACAAGGATGGAGCTGGGAAAGTGATTTGCTGTCCTTCACATCAATGCCAGCGGGGGCGTGGGGGGGCATGCACTGAGGCTCCAAGCATCCTGGGGGCAGAACCAGCAAATTAATCAGGCATCATGGTGCCCCCCTGATCTATGATGACATCATGGGTAGTGAGGAAACCGGCCAGGCCTCCGCCGGACGTTTCCAGCAGTTTGCAGACAGAATGAGGGACTCTCCACTGTCAGATGGCTAGTGCTCACACTGAGGAGTTTCTGCGAAGGCTTCCACAGACCTCACATCTCCTCCTGAGCTCCCGCTCTCCTCCTGAGCTCCCGCTCTCCTCCTGAGCTCCCCCTCACCTCCTGAGCCCCCCCTCTCCTCCTGTGCTCCCCCTCTCCTCCTGAGCTCCCCCTCACCTCCTGAGCCCCCCCTCTCCTCCTGTGCTCCCCCTCTCCTCCTGAGCTCCCCCTCACAGCTGCTCCCTGAAGCCTCAAACCACAAGCTGTCTTTAATAAGCAACTTGCCTCTGTCCATTCGAGCGCGACTGTACAGAGGGCTTACGGAAAACGTTCCCACATTCCCCGCATTGCCGTTAAATGAGACAGCACGCAGGGTGGAAATAGCCCAAGCGTGCAGAAATCCTGTCAGGTGCACAGTCTGTTCTAATCAGTGCTTAATTTGTGCCAGATCCTGCTGGAACATGTTCTGTTTTTGACTGTCTAAGGAAATTCGGCATATCCTTGTTTAATAAACATGTCTGACTTTAAACTGCAGAAAGTGCCGCCACACCACAAACATCTTTTTCACCTTGTTTATGCACAAGATCTCCTCTGTTAAAGCATGTTGTGGCTGCTGATCTGTCCCCTTCTTCATTACCACTGCAGTGCTTATCGCTTGCATGATTTACCAAAACAGTAGCGTGTGTCAAACTCCGCTAGCTGGATTAAATAAACATCTCAATGATGTTTTAGGCACATTACTGATCTGCTTACCAAATTTTAGGCACAAGTAAATGTTTCTATAGAATCAAAGAGCCGTCGTCTCACCCATCATCTAAAGCCCTAGTGATTATTGCACATGTGCCATCTAATCACGATTATATCACAATGTGTTACCATGCAACCCTACTTGACATCCTGAAGATCATCTCAGCACCATTTAATTTTGCTCCTACAACAAATTTAGGATTAATACATGATACACAGGAACACTGCCCATGTACGAACATGAAATGCAGAGAACCAGAGAGGAAGACAGAAAATGTAATTATGCATTTCTCACCATGAGGGAGAAGGTTTGTTTTCTTAACACAGAGAGGCACTGCCTTCTCCTATGCACAACCTATGACCACTGGGGGCAGCATTCCTCTGGACATCAACTGTGATGCAAGGAAATACCCCTTTAAATGTTAATTAAAATTAGCACCGTACCTTAGCTCCGAGACTTAACGACAGGATGGTGTCCTCAAAGGCAGAGTGAGTGTCCACATGAGGTGGGATACCTAACAACAACAGAACATGATTTTTAACAAAACTGTCTTTGGACCAACAGCTTAACGTGTAAGGCCTCTACTGCCCTCTGGTGGAAAAGCAGGGCACCTTGTCCTGGCTGGTATTGGTTGACTGTCAGCTGGTCAGGTTTAATGTTCATTATGTTCTCCTTCAAGCACTTTTCCAGCACAATGTCACAGGCATCTGGGAGGCCTGAAGAGAAAGCAAATATTCACCTCTGAGCGTCTAAAATAATAACACAAATGGAAATATTCCAGAAAAGATCAGGCTATTGTTAGATAACTGCACATTTTTCCTTGTAACCATACCTAACACTATAACTTCCCCAAAATAAAAAAGAAATGCATTTAAAAATGGAGAAAAAAAAAACATACCACCAGGTAGCAGCTGGTCTATGTCCACATTATTGGTCTCATACAGAAACTCGTATCCATAATGCTTTACTTTCCTGTGTTTCAGACTCTTCTGTGCTGAATGACAAAACAGAAGGCACATATGTGAATAGAAAGAAATTACTTAATTAGGATCACACTAGTGTTCATTTTTAGTCCCAAGCGCACGGAAAACAATACACCCATTAATTAATCTCTCAGTGAATCCAGAGACTATGACACCAGTCCGCTGTGCAGAGCCATTGTAGGTCTTTTTCTAGAAAAAGAATATAGCACAAATCTTTGGTATGGTCCTCAGCTGCCAACACTGTAGTTCTGCTTTTAGGGACCTCAGATGAAAAGTACAGTGGGGTCGAGGCATGCAAACTCAGCCACACACCAGTGACATCATTATCAAGGGACACCCAGTCCAAACTTTCCAGGAGACCAGTCTCTTCTTCCGGCGTAACAAAGTCCTCCCACACCTTGAGGCCAGGAGGAAGTTCTGCGCTGGAGTAGACGTTGTAGTCCACTGCAAAGACAGGAAGAGGGAAAGGGATGCTCCGAGTGACGTTAAGGAGTAGTTCCACAGCCACGCTGAGGTCTCATTTGGTGACACTGCCACCTTTAGGCCGAATAAAAACAACACGGAATTTTACACCGTAACCAACGGTCATTAGGGATGTCACCATATCTTTCCGTGTTTATTGATACATCTGCAACACACTAACAGTATAGCTACATAAAACATCGTGCTCTTGTGGACATCTTGTTTGTGGAATTCACACATTTAAAAAACCCGGCTGTTACCTTTCTCCACAAAACAAAAGTATAATGTGATAGTTTGTCCCTGGCACTGAAGCTGTCTGCCACCGAGCGACGTCTGGCATCGCCTGGCGTCTTCGACAGTCCCGTAGGTGACGAATGCATAGGGCTTGTTGGGGGGCATAAGCAGGGCCTCCACATGCCCGCACCGCCCCAGCACGTCCAGGAGCTGCTCTCGAGAGACGCCGTTTCCGAGACCCCCGTTAGCCACTGCCAGCTTCTGAAATGTGGAAAGGAGCACCCATGAATTATGCATACTTCAATATGTTTTTATAAATATTTTCAACGCATATTCGAAGGTTTGCTATGATCGTATGCGCCATATCATTACTATGTAATTGCTTTTAATTGATTCACGTTGCTTCAATTTTCAGATTATGTCCGTGAATGGTAGTTTACCTGCCAAGGAGACACGTTTTATTAAATTATGTACTAATATTATACTAAATAACAAAGCGACCGCGAACTGCCGGCGTCTGTGTTACTTTTTTATGAATCCCAGCCACTTTAATAAGGAGATTGACGTGAAACAATACATTACAGTGAAAGTTACCTTGGTCGGAAACGACACCGTATTAATACCTTCATGTCTCAATAACGTATGGCTAACTTTTATTTCCTTTCGAAGGCGTTTTTTGTCCTCTTTATTCTTTTTGACAGTTTCCACGCTCCCTCCGCAGTTTGCTGCCATGGTGCTACTCCTAATTCTGCCGGAAGGAAACCAGGTTTCGACAAATAGTTCCTCTCTGCATTCATGTAGAAAATGTTGTTGTAATATAAATGATTTAAATTATGTGTATATATACATATTATAAACTAAAATAGATATATGAGCCTACACATGCTTTCACATTTTTGTCTTGCCCTATAAAGTTGGCACTGACATTGTACACCGCCAAAGTCCCTGAAGAGATCTTCTCAGCTGTTCAAAGTACCCCCCACCCCAACACCATTCTTTATGTGGGGTAATTATACAGAGCTCTTTGTAATTTGGACTACTTCCTGGAAAATTCCGCCGCCTGGCATTCGTTGAGTCCCTCGGCCTTCCCCCCTCTCACCTTGACTGTGAAATTCACCCTTGGATTTGCAATGGAATCCTCTGCTGGTGTGTCAGCAGCAGTCTGGTTTGTCTGAAGTTCTCCACAGTGGAGACCAACACGTACACAACAAACAGGGTGTGAAAGGATGTGTTTAGTAGCTTTTATGTCAGAAATTCACAGCTGCGAGCTGCTGATAGGTGGGATACAGTATTATCCCCGACCTCTCTGTCATATCCTAGAGCTTTGACGTGCTGCAACATTCCCGATGAGGGATGTGCTGCCATGTCTCTAAAACGTGAGTGAATGCAGAACCCATTCAGCTCAATGCCAGCATGTTTTGTCCTCTGTTATGCTCCCTTTCCGTCTGCATTAGCCAATCCCGCGTCAGCTTGTGTGATCTGTGCCATGAAGAGTATTATGGGGTGTTTCATATCCTGCCACAGCAGTAAAACGGGGGCAAAGTGTCAGAGGTCCTGTGTGGCCTGATTTTTACAGAGGGGCTGCTAATTCTGGGCATCTTCTGTGAGGAGGTGCCGGTGCGGGGACTCAGCTCTTCCCGGGAGGTGCGCGGGCGTCAGCTGTAGCATTCCCGTGGTTGAAATTCTTCCTGTCTGCTCCAAAGAGGGGGCCTGGACTTTTCTGTATTGTTGTGCCCACCCCCCTCCCCAGGAGGAGTGGGATCTGGTGAAATATAGATGTATTTGATAGGGCAGCCCACCTGTCTTGGTTCATCACTGGGTCTGAATGGTTTCCAGATTGGTGGCCAGGATTCCCTCAGAGTAAAGCTAGGCTGCTTATGCTCCTGCTGATGGAAAAACAATCCCTGTCCTCTCACCCCACCTTTCTATGATAAGAATGATAACACATCCTCTAATACTTCATTATACCCCTAGAATGCGCTGGAAATGCCCTCCGGTTAAACTAAAGCCTTCCTCTAGTTCTCTGCTTTAAGCACAAGGCTCATATTGCGATTTTGCAAACTCACTGTACAAGTGCTTGGCCCAGCCTTCATCGTTACATAATGTGGAGCCTTAATGAGAGGTGGACACTTTATATATCACTTTTTAATTTGGCATAATCCCTCAAAATCTATTTTCAGTGCAGCGTAGCCACAGAAGGTGTGGACAGCTGTCACCGGTGGCAGGGTGCCCATGCCTTTTGGCCAGATCAACATGCCTTGCCATGGGCTTCTGGGGCTCACAGCGCAACGAAACATCTGAGAGCCAAAAATGGGCCTCAAACAAGCATCGTTTGCAATGCCGGACATTCACTCAGCTTAGTTGCTATTTTTTCCAGATATTTTAGGAATTGTGGGTAAATTACAAAGCCCAGGGGAATGTGGAAGCTCAGTATGTTGTGTGTCAAAGGCTGAAGGTGTGAGTACAGGAGCTTGTTCTCCCATCCAGACTGATGACAAGGGGCAGTGAGCGAGTCATTCATCAGGGATAGTGTGGGCATTCTCTCAGTCTCAGGGACCCCCCTATGCCACATTTTCCTTCCTCCATCCTGTTTGAATTCCTGCCCCGGTTCTGGCCCCCGATTGGACTGTACAGGAGACCTAGTCCTGACAGAGTCTTTTATCTTTTTTTGGCACAGCTGAGCCTATAAAGTTCTGAGACGGCCTGCCATCCCTGACATGCAAGGCCTTATACCCTGCGCTGCGAGCCTCACGGTGGTGGTCATGCTTTCTGTCCCTTGCTGAAGTTGTAGTTGTCATGACAACCACCGGGTGCTTTGCATTCCCTTGGTGCGGGAGCCTGTCCCTCAAGGCCGACGTATGGAAACAGAGGTTGGGATCTCGCTGGATCCCGGAGCCAATCGTCAGGCATCAGTGGATGTGTCTGTTACGTCCGAGAGGCCACCTGAGCACAGGGGTCGGCCATGTTTGCTGTTGCTAGGTCACTATCATCGGCAGCACAGTGCAGGAACTTGGCTTTGAGGGGGAAGTGGCCTCCTGATAAACATGTTATTACTGCATCCCCAGAATGAGACATGTCAGTAAAATGTGTTTTTTCTTAATTTCTTCTAATAAACACCCTCAGCCTCTTCCAATGCCTGCTGTGCTGGATCGGGGTGTGGGGGGCAAGGGGGTGGGGGGCGTGTCACCAGTCTTTTGGGGGAGGGGGTTGGCACTGGATGACGCAGCTGAATAAGGAAACTGCCTCTAAGCAGGAATGCAAACTCTAAGGAGGAAACTGCAAGTATGAGGGCTTGCTCAGCAAATCGCAGTGAAACAAACACGTCTCGTTTAATAAAAAGTGACAACTCTTTTGCTTTTGCTTCAATCTATTTCCCCAACCAATCATTCAACAGAATAATCTCCGCCCAGTTCACAAATCAGACCTGTCCCCACCCTAAAAACCCTTGATGGTGCCCCAGAGTAGGGGTGTGAGTGCATGCAGTGTGACACGTTCGCTGGTGTGCCCCCCCCCTTGCCCCCCCCCCCGATTATTTTAGTGGGACCCGAGTGAGACCTGGACCAGAAGGACCTGTCCGAGCCTGAGAACAGAACCAGAAGTGCCCCCCCGCCAGCGGAGCCGAGACAGCGTGCCCGCCTTCTGTCAGGTAGGGCTACCTGCACCCACCTGCACCCACTGCGCCACCGTCTGGCGACTCACTTCAGTGCCACTGTATCCTTATGGCAGCACTGTTTATAAACTGGATTTGTGTAACACGGAGGATTCATGCACTGCAGAAGCTCATCAAACGTAGAGAAATGCAAGAAATCACGGAGATTTTTTTTTGTTCAGGAGAGATAATATAAAATGTAGTGTGATTTTGAATGGGGAAGGGATTTATGAAACAGGGATGAAAATTTCTTACCACTAACAGGATGCACTCAAAATATGGAGAAAAAATACGAGATGCTTCAGGTCTGTCACCTGTCGAATGCTACCTATAAATTTGGGATGCAAATCCCAGAAGCATCACATGCAATGTGAATTTATGAGAACCGGTCTTCATTTGATAGGCATTTCCCAAAAGTGGCGTTTTTACAGCCGCGGCTGGCAGTTGACTACGCTAAGTGAGACGGTCTGGACTTTAGGGATCCTGGAATGCCCCAATATTGTTGTATAGCATACTGTATTTTTAGAAAGTCACCGATCGTCTTGATTGCTCGGTGAGCCAGAAACTTCCCGTAACCTAATCAGGATTGACATCTTTGACATCTGCGCTTCTAGAAGGACCCTTTGGCAACATTGGATGAAAACAATACTGAGCGTTTGTGCATTTGGCAAATGGTGTTAAAGAAGCACATGATTGATATTTGTGCCTCACTCCACCCCCACCTCCGGCCAGCTCTGTGCTACCGTGATTTATTTACCCAGACCCCCCCACTCAAGGTCACTTCCTGTTTTTAGTTTTTAACTGTGCGCAGGGCTGCAAGCTGCGGTCAAAGTTTCAGCTCAACCCTTTTTCCTCTCTTCTCTTTTCTTTGTTGTCCTTCCTCCAAGATTCCTTGGTGAGAAACAGCACCAACCCTGGTACCGCCTTCTACTGCAGCCACTGACTGACTGAAGGTTGACCCGCCTGCTGTCTCAGACCTCGCCCTTCCCACCTCTGACACACCCCCGTCTCCGTTGGCAGGATGGACCGATCCGTGCAGGAGCTCTTCCTCAACTTCATGATCGTCTTGATCACTGTGTTGCTGATGTGGCTGCTGGTCAGATCCTACCAAACTTCATAGGGGTGACGATGGTGTGGAGTATGGAGGGGGTGAAGGTACCAGCCATGAGAAGAGGTCATGCAGAGTACCGCCCCCCCAACACTCGAATCTGACACCTAAATTTATTGTGTATCACTGTGACTATCTTCCCTCAAGCCTTTAAATGCATCAACACTTAAACTTCTTTAAACAAGTTTAAAGAAAGAACGTTAAACAAATTCATTCTAGCCAATAATATTTCTATGCTTGTTTTAGTATATTTTTGTGTGTTTTTAGAGCATATTTGACAGGACATTCAGCTAATCTGCCTGTTTCCGTTTTTTTCTTGTACAGAAACTTTTAATTGATTAAAAAGGCTAAACTGTAATTAATTCATGTGCATCAAGGTGCCACACTAATTATTCATGTTAATCGAAAGACCTATCAATGTGAGAAAAAGGCCTGTTTACAATCTCTGCAATAAAAAACAATGAAGTCACTGCTGTGTTTTGTGTTTGTCTTGTGCCAAATCACGAGGTGAGAACATTTAGGCCTGGAGCAATGACGTCTTCAGAAGAGCGTGACTGCTTCAGATGATCTGTGCAGGAAACCCCCCTCCCCCCCCCCCCCCCCCCCATCGGCTGTACTGTCATAGCAATGCACCCCCAGCGCCTCTTCATGTTGACATTGACACACTTTATTGCAGCATTCCAAACAAGTCACAAATTGGACACTTTTATGTACCAGCTAACGTCGAATCTGTAAGCCATTCTATCATTATAAGCCTGGAAATATACTTTTAGATGTTTTCTGGTTACATCAAACCAATCTTTGGCGATCAACCCAATAACATTACACACAGAACCATAAATACCTACTGATCTTCCTATTTTTGGCATGTTCCTGTTTTTCCTATGTGGGTGTCCTGAAACTGCTGCTTCAGCTTGTATACTTATTGATATGACAGCCTGGCCCCGCTTACCGCAGTCCTAGCAGGGTAAGAGTCCCCGTCAGTGCTTAACAGCCAGGCCCAGCGAAGGTCTGCTCCAGCAAGCCTCAGTCCCCCAGGGATGATCAGAGGTGGACAATTCAGGTCTGGAAAGTAAAGATTTTGCTTCAACCAACGTTGAACATTAAGTGTCACAGTCAGAGTACTGAAAACGTTGGCTGAAACAAAATCTTGGTCTGGATTTTTACTTTCAGGAGCGTAAATGTCCACGTCTGCGCAGCCTCTCCCTGTGTTACTTATTCGTATTGCAGCAGTGCACCTTCCGTGGACCCATGTGTGCGACACTCTAAGCTTGACAAAGCCTTTAAAGATATGCTTGCTGTTACACTGGAGCATGCAGCTTCCACACTGCTGACAGCTGTTGTTTGGTTCGTTCTGTGTCTTTCGTTACTTTTGTATGGAAATGTCCCAGTTTTACCCCAGAAAGGGGAAAGTAACCTGGAAACATGCAGCAAACACGGCGAAAGCCTGGAAGGCATCGGATATTTTAGGCACTACCTGAATTCTCCTGCAGGGGGCAGTGCTACGGCGCCAGCAGTACATATAGACGGTGCTGCAACACAGTGCAAACACCTGATCAGTCCAAGCTGCAGATGCCAGAGTCACATGCTGAGAGAGACATCAGTGGATATCGGGGGACGGTGGATGAAATCATGATCGGCACGTCTAAACGGAAATGAACCAGAACGGCAAACTCAGTTTGTCGTTTAACACCGGCCAGCTATAGAAAGTATTTTAAAAATGCTAAACAGACAGAACGGACATCGATAGAGAAGCAGATGAGTCCGCTAGCGCCCCCCACTGGCTGTGGTGTCCTGACGTGTTGGGGGATGGTAGGAGGTTCATGATGGCGGGCGGAGTCAACGTGGGTCTTCATGGATGGGAGTCCAACTGGGTGAAGCGGATTTAAAGCTTAAAGGCAGCAGCCCAGCAGATTCTTCCCCCCTCTGCTCCTCTTCCTCATCATGATGCACTCGCATGCAGCCCTGCCCCATACTCCCACCCCCCGACCACCCCCTCTCTGATTGGCTGGCTCACTGCTCCACCTTCCAAGGGTCCCGGTAGCGGTTGAAGTGTATGATCTGGCAGTGGAACTCGGTGAGTGCTCGTGGCATAGGGGACACTTCCTCCCACTCCGAGCGGCCGCTGTGGTACACCTGAACCTCGTCCGTGATCTCGTCCGGTGAGTAGTCGCCGCCCAGGATGTAGATCTTGTCGGCGACACCGATGGCGCCGGCGTTGAAGCCGGCACACTCGAAGGAGCCCTCTCCCTTCCACACGCACGTCTCCGGGCAGAAGCTGTACACCTTGTACGTGGAGAGGTCACACAGGTAGAGCACGTCGCACACCGATACGGCCTTCACCAGCGTGGCGTGGAAGAACTGGCCAAACTCTGCCACCAGCTGGCTCCACTGGTCGGCCACGGCATCGTATCGGAAGAAGCAGTCCAGCGAGGGGTTGAAGACGTCGGCGATCTCCACCTCCGACCCCAAGACGTAGATGATGCTGCCACAGGCACTCGCCTCGGGGTAGTAAATGCCCCGCGGTAAGGGGCTGACACCACACCAGGCCCGGCCCAGGGGGTCATAGTACTCCACGTCCAGCAGGCTGCGGATGTTCCTGGCCCCCCGCGTCTTGCCACCGATAACGTAGAGGCGCTCGAGCGTCGTGACCGAGGTGTGCATGGTGCGCGGTTTCTGCATGGGTGGCACCGGCACCAGGCTGTCCTGCAGGGGGCAGTAGCACCACACCTCGTCCGTGGCGTTGTGGAACGGCTCGGCTATATGGAGGCGTACCGCCCGGCAACAGTTGCCATGGCAGCCACCGGTGACAAACAACTTCTCCCCGTAGCTGGAGAGGCTGGAGCCCGGCATGTCGGTCGCGTGGGTCTGCGGGAGCTCTCGCCAGCGGTCTGCCCGGATGCTGTAGCAGAAGGTGTGCCGGATTTCGCCGTCCTCCTCCGTCTTGTGCACGTAGATGTAGCTCTCGGCTGTGGCGGGCCGGGCGTCCGGGTAGAAACCTGCGAACTCGCGCAGGCCAGAGACTGCACTGCTAAGGATGCAGGCGCAATCCCCGTCGCCGGACAGCAGGGCCTCGGAGCCAATCAGCTCCTCCAGCACGTCTGCGGGCAGCTGGTGCAGCCGCACCCGGCGCAGGAGGCGTGGCAGCAGATGGCGGCGGGCCTCCGGGTCGTGCCCGACCCAGAGAAGCAGCGCCCGCAGTGCTGCCTCCTCGTGCGGCACCTGCAGCTCGTCGGCAGACAGACACGTCTCCAGCACGCTGGCGCTCATGTCCAGGAAGTCGGGGATCTTAGTGAGTGAGTAGAAGTCACGCGTGACAAACTCCAGGGCGCGCCGCTGCAGGCAGGTGGAGCCGTAGCCCTCGGCGATGGCCAGCAGCTGCAGGCAGTTGTGCAGCTCCAGCGTCCGGATGAGGAAGTCGCTACAGGCCTTGGAGAGCACGGAGACCTGTAGGAAGGAGGAGAGCTGGAAGAGCATGTCGACGTTCTCCTCGGTGATCTCCATCTGGCCCGTGTAGGCGAAGTCCAGGAAGGCGCGGACGGCTCGGGGGGACAGATGGCTGAGGGTGACGCTGCCATCATCCCGCTCCCGCATGTTCACCTCGAACATGGCCCTGCGCGAGATGGGAGCGGAACGTCACCTGCGGGAACGTCGCGCGCCGTAACGTGCAGATCGTTGACGCTGACGTCAAGCGTTCAAGACCCAGAACAACCAACATTTAGTCTGTCTGTTTACACTATAGTGACACTACATGCATAATCATTCTTTAACTGCAGTTATAGCTGCTGTACATTATACACATCATTTATACAACATTATGTATGCATTTTATACCACTGGATCGGTATACATTTACCGTGTGTGTGTGTGTGTGTGTGTGTGTGTGTGTGTGTCTGCTGGATGTAAAACAAAGACAGAAGCAACAGGGAGGAGAAATGGAGACAGATATCAGATAGTCATTTGGTGCGAGCAGCAGGTGTGATGGACACTGAGGACGGTGCCTGTTACTCCACGGGCTGCCAGCCAATTCTGTCACCTCGCGACATCCTGGGACACGACAGGGGGGAGGGGCCATGCCAAGCCGGAACCGGGGGCTGGGAAACCGCTCCGTACCTGAAGAAGTCGCTGCAAGCAGCCAGCACACAGCGGTGACAGGGGATGCACTCCCCCCCCACCACGATGCGGAAGTCGAAGAGGATGCTCCTCTCCCGGAAGCCCTGGAGCACGCTGAGGACCTGCTGCCCGTGGGTCTCCGCCACCAGCACCGTGGACCTCCTCTCCAGAGCCCCGTTGCACTGGGACCCCCCAGACATGTCCGTGTCACGCCGCCCCCCCACCTGGCCGACGCAGGAGGGTGGGGAGAGATGCAAGCAAGCCTGAGGAGCGGGTGCTGCAAAATCACACTGTCCATGTGAAGATGCTTGTATCTATTTTATCTTGTTAATGAATGACTGGGGAAGGCAGAGTGTGAAGTCAGGCTACTACAGTGAGCCTGTGAACCGAAGCTTGCTGGTTCAAACCCCTGTGACTGCAAAGGGATTTGACCATTAGGTCCCTGAGCAAGGCCCTTAAACCCCCCCCCCCAAACACCAAAAAACATTCTCCAGGGGTGCCAGCAAATGGCTAATCCTGCAAGTTTGACTCTTACTTGTGTGTCTCAAAGGAAAGCAAGATGAACTATGTAAAAAGAGACATTTCAATGTCCAAAGGGCAAACACAGCATCAGTACATGTCTTAAAATGATTTCAAGATGGTAATTTTCGATTAAAATAGACATTTCCTAAAACATTTCATGTAATTGCCAAACTCCATTATCAAGTCTTGTGGAATAACATACTACAATTCTACATTCCTGTGAGACTGAACTGGGGTCGGAGGAAACTTCTCATCTGAACGTTGTGGCTTTTTCCTTGTTCCATTGCTTAAGGACCCCAATTGTTGTGCCCTTTGTTTGAGATGCCACCTTAACACATATCTCCCTACGGGAGAGTTGATGACTCCGGAAGTGGCACTGACAAGTCAACATTAAGAAATTACTGCAGGATAATTTGATGAGAACACTAACCTTTTCCCCAAGCTGCATCATAATAAGTATCCTACGGTCATTCTTAGGGAGGCTTTGAGCAGAATGAGGGAAAGGCAGAAATCTAAGGAATGCCTTCTCATTTGGCTTTGGTGCACAGTTGAGCCGGTGTATTTACCAAAGGCACACATCAGCGGCTGTGAACCTCAACTCAAAGCTGTGTTGCTCGTACCTAATTCCAGATCGTTGTTGTGGCCTTGGCCTCTGCGTCAGCATTTTCTTGGAACACTACTGACACCTGCTGGTGAAAAATGTAAGGATTACGTCACCTAGGTAAAACATGTTCAGAAATTTGTGTTACGCAGCAGGTCTTACGTAACAGGTTTTAATTGATTTAGCAAAATGACCAGACAAATATGTCTAAACTAAAATTTCATACTTTTATACCATTTTAAGTTAAAAGACTTTTTAAAATAATGACTACAGCCAACATATTTTAATGTATAATTTTCTAAGCCATTTTTCTGCATTTTGGGTCTGATACAACTGTCTAATTTTGTTCCCTCACGACAAATTTGCATTTGTTTAACTCATGCATTTTTTCCCTTTATGTTTGTTGCTGCTTTTTATCGTGTGTTGCTATTTTAGCCAGGTTTGCAAATAGACAGACAGATAGACAGTAGATAGATGATGATGATAGATAGATAGATAGATAGATAGATAGATA